CTTTTGCAGCTACAATAACTATGTTCTTGTTTCTTTCACAAACAAGGAGAACCCTCACAAACTTTCAGATCAGCAGCAGGCCCTATCTGATGGACAGAATCCTCTACCTATATATCTTTGCCTCAATGTGAAAGAGAAACTAAGTAATCGAGGCTTTAGAGGTAATTATTATATTGTAATGTGCACTTACATTTGGGGATATATATAACCAAAGGCTGCAAATACCTGAATCAGAAATAATTAGGCCTTAGGCCAGTCACTTTCCCGCAACTCTAGGAAGGAGGCGATGGCAAACCACTTCTGAAGAAACCTTGTCATGAAAACTGCAGGGACCTGTCAAGACTGACTTAAAGGCACTGAAGATAAATAAATAAGTAAATAGCCACATAAGAGTCAATAAATTTAAAAGCAGTTTTAAAAAAAGAAGTCTAGATTAGTTAGTTGGAGCAGTTTGGATGAGGCAAAAGTCCCCCACTGCAAGAAAAAAAAAAGTTCCACTTACAGCATAAGGGAAGGCATCCCCTTATATAAGGTGCTTTAAAAAGTTCAGTGGGCGTTGGTCAAGCCACTGGTGCTATTGTTTCTCTAAATCAAGTATTCCAGGAATGGCTATTCCATACTTGGATATCAAGGATCTAAAATACTTGACTCTCTTCAGTTTGTTTCAACAGGAAGGTATAGAGTTAAATCACAAAGCTCCTTCAGGCTTTTTTTCAGGACCCCTCCCCTCCCCAAGCCCATGCAAACTTTTCCAGCCCTGTTCAGCATGTTCTGGCAAAGCTTAAAAACCAGGAAGTATCTATTATTTTACTCCTTATCAGTATTTTGGGTTGCTTCTCTCCAGTTCTCTGATGTATGGCATGTGTTAAAGATAACTCTTATTAAATTTATGCATTGAAAGCAGTCATAGAATTATATCACAATGGGCAGCTATTTAAATCTATTGGATAAATAAGCAATTTAAAAGCATAATGTAAAATGCTATTAATAACATGTATGGGATATTATTCTCTTATGTCTCTGTTTTTAGAATGGTTGGAATTCACACCATATGAAGTTGGATTCCAAAAATATGGTGCCTACATTCGTCCTGAACACTTTGGTAGCAAGTTCTTCATGGGACGCTTGATGGAGAAAATCCCAGAATCACGTATCTGCTTTTTAGAAGGTAACTGAATAGCTAATTAAAATAAAGATGCCACTAGTTCTCACACTGAAATTTACCAAATACAGTGTGGTGCTTCTGTATTTGTTGCTAATTGGTTCTGGAAGGCACAATGAGTACCAAACATGACGAATACCAAACAAATTTTTCCCATAAGGAATAAGGTAAATAAATGTAATGTGTTCCCAAACCAAAGACAATGCACTTTTTTAAGGCAATATGTAAAAAAGATAGGTATATAATCACATGATAAATCTAAAAATTAATAAATACTTAAAGAAAATAAAAATTTCCCTTTACTTGTATTGATGAGAAAAAAGCACAAAAAATGCACAAAATGACTACAGAAGCTAAGATAAGACTGCACGGGGATGTGAGCAGGGCAAGAGCTACCACATGGCTACCACGTGACCCTTTGTTTTGACTGGAAAGGTTAGCAAGTCACGAGGCAACCAACATTTCTAGCTTGCGCATCAAGTACCAAACAAACAAATATCGGGATAAAATTTTCTCATCAAAATGTGTCGAGTACCAAATCTGTCAAGTTTCAGAGCAGTCGAGTACCAAGGTATGACTGTAATAGGCTATTTCCATGATTTTGTAAATTTGTAAATAATACATTTTGTACATATTTGAAATATCAACATTATATTTTCTTAATTTTGTTATACTTTAAGATACATAATGATGAAAGGCTTTAAAAAGAATCCATCCATTGTTTAGCACATTTCAATTAATTATGATATTTATCCATTTCACTACATCTTCAGTGTTTGGTTGTTTGGAATAAGCAGCATCCTCTATTCTTGGTTGCAGGAAAAATACACGATAATTGAAAATAAGTTTTCATTTCTCATGGAAAAACAGTGATATCTCACAAAACTAAACTAGGCGCTACTTGTAAATGATGATTATAAACTATATTACTTGATCTGTTCTGATTTACAAGAATGGAGTTGTTTTGTATATAAACACATATGTTTATTTTTGTAATTACAGAGATAAGCAAAAGTGCTGCCTAACAAATTCAAGGAATTGTTTATTGACTATACAGCATTCTAGGGAGTAAAATCCTGCCTGAGGCCCAGATCAGTTTACAATTGAAGTGTGATTTGAACCAAAACACTCTGGGTTAATCCTTAAAATAAAATGGCAGTATACATAACCATGGCCAAATTATTCACTAATATAAAATATAACAACAATTATATTATGAAACAATAAAGCAGAAAAGGAAAAGAATCATTTCATCACAATTGTTTTTAAGATATCACAAAAACACCCCTGTCTTCCCTCTTGCAGGAATCTGGAGTAGTGTGTTTTCTGTGAACATTATGGACGGCTGGTACCAGGCTACCACTTCAGAAGATTTTTGGCAGATATGGACACGAGACAGAATAACTGATTTGAGTTAGTTTCTTTTACATATTCTCCTGCTTTGTTCGATAATATGGATTGAAGGATATTTATATCCTTCCTGTATTTTTATCTGGTAGATACTTTATAGTTTAAGATACTGCTACAAAATACCCAGTATTAATAGTAATAATTGCAAGAAATCCATTATTATTCTGGTATCAGGACTGAAACTGCCTTGACTTCTGCCTTGACTTCTGGTGGAAAACAGAGAAGGCAAGGTTTGACCCAGTTTCTACACTCCCTTTTTATAAAATACATTACAAGGTTTGTAGGAAAACAAATGTTTTATTTGCAGAAGGTCCCCATTTCAGTCCCTGAGGCTACAGTACAATTGAAAAAATGTAAGAGAGTGGTTATCAGTAACTAGGTAGGCCCGAGTTTCAGTATGTGTCACTTAGAGTCACTTAGATGAAATGGGCAATGTAGACATTTAATAAATAAATGCAGCTGCTTTCTATGGGTTTCATGTTGGGGGTGGCTGATAGAATAATATCAGATCCCATCTCCTCCCTGTTCATCCTACTCCCTCCCTCCCCATCTTTTAGCTATTGTATTTTTTACATACTTTTGTAGTATTTTATTTATATAGTTTTATATTTTAATATTGTACGCCACCCAGAGTTACCCTGTGGTAAGGTGGGCAGCCAATAAATTGAATAAATTTCACACCTACAGATCTGATAGGTTTTTGTTGTTGTTGTTGTTTGATAGAAACAATACAATGAATCCTATACTGGCAACACATAACTTTGGTGATATAGGAAGAACCTTTTTTTTTTTTTACATGCACACAAATACCATGGCTCATCAAGATCCCATTCCTTAAAGCAAAAACACTAAATTATATCTGTGCAGCATTCTGCTTTTAAGAAAAGTAAAATGGGTGCATCACAGCTCCTTTAGGGCAATGGAGCCCTTGTGTAAATTATCTTTGATTATTTAAAATTTGGCCAGACAAGAGAGAAAAGTGAACTAGTACAAAGTCCAGATGAAATAAGAAAAAGTCAGTCATGTACATTTTTCAAGTGTCCCATACCCATTGGTTATTATAGGTATGGCCGTGAAAAAAAAAAACACCTGCATGCATTTAATGGATATTATTTTGTTTGCAGAAGAACTTACTGGTTGTCCAGAAACGTATAAACTACCTGTTCGAGTCCAGTGTCCTCCAGGAAGCCTTGCCAGCATTTTTCAAGATATTATTATGTGGCGACCTGCTGTGTCATTGATCCCCAATTTTCTAAGAGGCTGTCCAATGCACAACAAATATTTAGAGAGTGGATTTGCAAACTGGAAAGGTATTGCTTCCTTTTAATTAAAGGTCCTTTTGAAGCGCTTGTGCTCCAGTGATACTCTTAATACGTACTGGAGATTTTGCTGTTTGTTTTCAGAAGCTAGACTGCTAGATGAAACCGTGTCTTTTATCAAATTACTGAAAGGCAGATATTTGGGGGGGGGAAGAAGCCTAGTTGTCCGCTGCATAGAAGAAAAGTTACATTATTGTCCCTCCTGAGTTGCAGTTACATGGTTGTGTCTGTTTTTTTAAACTTTTCTTAGAGTAATGCTATTGCCTGTTTTAACCAGAAATATATTTTATTTAGATTGTGATCTTGACAGTTTTCCTAACCAGCTAATTGGATCTGAAGAGCATCTGTATCTGGTGGATAATGCATTTGCCCTCGACACCAGCTATCCCCCACTTACGAGGCCAGAGAGAAAAGTGGATCTCTTCATACATTTAAATTATAGCTCAGGTTCACAATTACTGGTGAGAAATATGACATTCCATTCTCAGCAGTGTTTGGCCTTATAAGTCCTGTTGTTTTGTGATGCAAGGAGGAAGTTGATGGTCAGAACTATTTTCTCTTCGGCAGGAATCTTATTTTTACAGAATCTGAATCTTGCAGCTGCTTCCTCTTCTGCCACATGACATTTGTCACATGAAAGTGAGAAACTGGTTTTAAAAAAACAACTTTCAGTTGGGCCAATTAACTTACAGAAAACTTTATTTGCCATTTTTACTTTTATAAATAAGTTTTACCTTTGTTACTGATGTTATGGCATCACAGTTTAAGCTCTCTTAAGTTTCTTGACTTCTAGTGCCCTCTTTTGTCCTCTGGTTTACACAGCACACAAGATTCTGGGATGGAAGAAAAGGCCCAATGAAGTTGTTATTCAAAGAACACTAACTGGCCCAGAAGATGACTGAATGTTAAATCAGGACATCTTTCCCCCCAATTATTCTGTTCTCCGGGTTACATGAGGAACCACCTACCTCCCATACTGTATTATGTGCCCAGCTCATTTGATTTGAGAGATGATATGCTGTTCATTTCTTTGACTAAACAGTGCCATCTATCAGGACCCCAAGAGCACACCTATGTTGCAAGGCCTGCAATGAGTTTCTCCCTGAGATCTGGGTTGCTCCCAACCTACTGGTATTTTAGGGGGCTTTGAATATAGACTGAGTAATGGGTATAGAATTCAATCACATTTCAGTCTACCCAGTATGCAGATGTACCCAATTCACCTCAGTCCTAAGGCCACATCACACTGTACAAACTGTGTTGACAGCTGCCGCTAAATGACCAGGATCAAGACACAAAATCAGTGAGGTCTTGTTTTGTCTTCATTTTAATGGAAAACCCCTAATTCGGAGAGACATTATTGGAGTGCACAAAGCAAAATATTCAATCTGGTGGGTCTTTTTCACATTTGGGGAACATGATCAAGGAGTAAAATGGGTTTTGTGGAGGTTTAGGCATCCATTTTTCATCTTTAAAAAGAAAGAATCAGCATCTTTTGTGGTCTTTCATGTTTGTTCATTTATAAGCCTTTAGAGATTGTGAAATTGAGCAACTAAGCCAACTTTAGCTCATAAGAACCCTTGTGAGAAAGCTGTGGTAAGGTTTTAATACTTTTTTCTTTAAAAAATAAAGTACTTATAAAAATTTGTTTGACTGTTTTTCCCTCACCCCCATCTATACAGCCTCTGCAAATGGCCTCAGATTATTTCTCAGAACAAGGAATTCCTTTTCCTAGAATTATCCCACAGGAACAAGATGAAAAAGATGTAAAGGAATGCTATTTGCTAGGAGAACAAGAAGGTCCAAATATTCCATTAGTTCTCCTTTACCCCCTGGTTTGTAATACCTTCCAAAATTATAAAGAACCTGGTAAGTGTGTGTGAATGCTTCTTGCTTCCTAACCCCCCCCCCCCTTAATTATATCTGGTGTTGTGTTTTAACCAAATGTGAGAAACTCATGGAATACAAAGGAGAAAAAGAATTTGAGCTCAGGATTAAAGGGATCCAAACTGTGAAAAGTGGAGATACAAAAGTTGTGCCTTTCCTTTCTCTCCAATAAAATGCTCTAGGTCTATTTTTTTTAACTTTGTTTAACATGATAGAATAAAAAAAAAACAGAGCAACTAGTTATAACCACTGCTTTAAATAATTAAATTGGATGCAATATATATTTTTTCTGCTGGTTATGGCCAATTTTTTGACTTAGCCTTGCCATGTTTGTGGTATATGTTCTGGACCCTGGCAGTTATTGGGTTAAAGACTGGGTTTGTTAATAGGTCAATGGGAGGAGTTTCTAAAGGTCATTGGGATACTTCCTGGACACTAGCCACATGGGATTGCCTTTGTTCATTCAGCCCATGGCTTCCAGCTACACGGTTGGAGATCTCATGGGCACGCCAACATGTGACATTTAAGAAGGAGAAGAGGGGAAAATCTAATATCAATTTACCTGGGGGACAACCAATATTGCAGAAACCTATTCTGGATGCACCTCTACAAACTGTAAGTCTTTGCTCAGGATTCCCAGAATAAAGCAATATTTTCTGTTTGTTCCTCTGAGTTATCTATCTGTTCCAGATTGGAAAGGCAAAATCTCCTGTCTAGGAAAGAATAGTAAATTGATATTAGATTTTCCCCTCTTCTCCTTCTTAAATGTCACATGTTGGCATGCCCATGAGATCTCCAACCGTGTAGCTGGAAGCCATGGGCTGAATGAACAAAGGCAATCCCATGTGGCTAGTGTCCAGGAAGTATCCCAATGACCTTTAGAAACTCCTCCCATTGACCTATTACCAAACCCAGTCTTTAACCCAATAACTGCCAGGGTCCAGAACAGTATAGGGTCTGGTAAAGAATATGCTAAAATTAGTGACAGTAACCAATACAGTAGGTCTCTTATATAGCACAGGAAGTAGAGGGTTCCAAGGAAGGTAGAAGATAATTGTGGCTGGGAGAAGCCAGATTAAGACAACTTCAGAAGACAAGTAAATTGTGTGTTGTTTTCTAGGTTCTCAAAGACCAATTTGCGGTGTCCTGAGTCTCTTGATCGTCTGCAATGTAGTTTTTCCTTCCATGGTTGAAATATAAAGACAGCAGTTTTAAATCCATCTCCAAACCTTGAGCAAATTTATCTGATATGCATTTCAGTGGTTTCTTAAATGAAAAAGTTAAATATTGTTTTTCTTTATTAGAATGAATCAATAAATCTTTTTTTTCCTTGCTAAGAAAATCTCTTTTTTTTTTTGCTAAGTTAGTTTGCCATGCTCTTATATATCTGCAGTCAAAGTGTAGCAATTCATGCATCTAATCCAGTTTAAAACAGGGAAACCTGTGCTAAAATAAATTGACGAATCTCCATGTATTTGCTGCATTCTGACCAATCTGGGTTTTTTTTCTTTTTATTTTAAAAAAATCATAGGTGTGAAGCGTAGTCCTGAAGAGATGAATGATGGTGATATTGATGTGACAAGTACCTTTGGTCCTTATAATGTTTATACTTTGGAATATTCAGACGAAGATTTTGAGAAACTAGTAAAACTGAGCCAGTACAACATCCAAAATAACAAAAATACTTTGATTGATGCTTTACGGTTAGCTGTAGAACGGAAAAAACAGTATAAGAAGAACCTTCATATGCTGTGATCTAAAACTTTTTTTGGGGGAGAGTACCTCAGTTGCCCCTGCACTACAGAACAAATCATTTCATTCCAGAAAGAAAGTAAGATAAAATAATGAAAATAATATTTAAGATCCTGGACATGGAGGGGAAAAAATTGCTGCTTTTATGAAAATGAATAAATTGTAAAACCTGAAATGCTCTTTTAATGAATTCTAGTTGTCTTTCGGCAACAAAGGCACAGTGACAGAGTAAAACATGGATACAGAACTTTCTACAATGATAAATTTGGAAGATCATCTGAACAAGCGCAAAAAAATATCCTGTGAAAAATGTTGTTTGTGCCTTGTAATGTTGCTGTTTATAGTGGTTTTCTCTTTGAAACATTTCCATTTCTATTGTGATATGTATTTTTTCTTTGTTTCTGTAACAAAGAATGGTATGAACAATATATGAGAATGTCTTTCATACAAGTTATTTTGGTCTGGTGCCATATGAATGGTGAGAAACAATTTTTAAGAACATAAAATCAGTTTCTGATAAATAAATAATGATCAGTTTAAAAACACATGCATATTCAGGAGGAAACTGTAAACATGCTACTTGAATCCAGTTAGTTTTATTGGTTGGAATGATTTTCATGTTGCAATGTTAGAATTTGGGCTCTGGCTTTCCCTTGCCAGTATGCAAGTGATCAAAACTATCAAATACAAACCAATCATAAAGAGGGAGAGATATTTGCATATCATCAATGACTAGAATCATACTGCATACTTTAAATCAGGATTTCTTTAAGCATTGTCAGATAAATAAACAATTCATAAACCTTACAAGTTACAAAAACTATGTTCACATACCCCACTAAGCCAAAACTAAAAAAAAAACCCACCACATTATATTGCCTGAATCCTATCATTGACTTTGAGTTGCGGAAAATATCCCTAGGCCCTGTATAATATATAGCCCTCAGTATATGTTTACTCATCAAAGAGAGATAAGCCAAATATAAGACTATTATCCACATAGAAATCACTTTCCCCAATATTAATAAAATAAAAATAAAATTTAAAAAATCAACTGAAAAGTTTCCTTTGTAGAACAATCCGGCATTGACGTTTATGCAGAATCCATAGCCAGAATTTTAATATTTTCAGAAACTTCTATCAAGACATTCTAGAACATTCCCTCATTGCAGAATTCACGAATGTAAGTGTAACCTTACAGTTAGGCACAGTGTAATACAGTAGTTTTCAGAAAAAAACATATCAAAGCAAGAAAAGCAAAATTCTACAAGAAGTGTCTATTCTAATCTCTGTTAACAAAAAGCTAAACACAAGACAGAGTTTCACTTCCAATGGCTTGTATTATCTCTAATTTCCACTAACTTGTAATACCTTGCAGCATTTTTTTCTTTGACTCTTTTTTCTGTTCTGGTTTCAGTAGTGCTGTCTTCTTTTTCTCTATTGCTTAGCTAATTTCAGCAACTATCAAAATAATGAAAATGATGAGTCTGAATTGTAGCCACATAAGAGGGAAACATAGAGATTTTATGAAACTAAAAGCAATTTTGATGTGTTTCTGCTGCCAATGGCAGGTGGAACATAAAACCTTCCCCTTCACTGGAACTTCCTTGTTCTGATCAGAGAAGGAACTGAAAAGTGCTTCATGGTGATTATACAGTGATTTGTCCTTACTTCACTGGAGGAAAACAGAAGTCATCTCACTTCCTTTTATGACTTGGGAAGGATGGTTGTGTAAATCTTACAAGCAGCTCTTCCTTTTCCAAAAGTTCCATGGGGAAGATAATTATGATAGGTTGTTACCATTCAGGCTAAATCCATTTAACACTGCCCAATCTGTTTAGTTTAGTCTTTCAACCAAAGGTTTTTCTCTTCAGCTGAGCTCTAAGAAAAATGGAAGGAGCTTTGGGTCTTCTCACCTAACGCAGCAATGCAGTTTGTAGCAAATCTTAAATAAAAAAAACTCTGCAACCTCTGAAGTTTTGCATATGGGGAGGATTTTAATGAGAAATTTTCTTTTAAAAACAATTCAGCCAAACTTCTAAAGAGTTTGTTGCAAAAAGAAATTGTAAGTGGATTGTTCTGAGATACTGGAAACAAAGTAGGCTGAGCAGAAGATTCTTCAAAACTTCCTTCCTGGGAGGGAGGGAGGAAAGGGTTTTTGGTGCTTCCTGATAACTTTGCACAAGGAAATTCAATGGGGAAGCTAACAGGAAATCAGAAGTTACTCCTACTCCCATAACATTTTTTGTCTATCCATGTTCATTCTGTTCTCTGTTTAGGTAAGGAAATATCTCTGATATGATGATCCAATGGATCACAGGTTGTCTAGTATATCCTAAGTAGGATTTACGCTACTCATTTAACCAGATAGTCAAGTTCTTGGCCTTTGGTTTACTTAGCCCTTTCGGTTCTCCAGTGCTAATATGAGACCCAACTCTTATCTCTGTCAGAATTTTTTATCCACTTTGGAATTTCAGAGAGTCTACCTTCAAGCTATAAACTATGGTTGGTCTAAGCAGGATGGCTGTAAATGTCAAGTTGAGTTCTTGGCAAAGTTTCAAGCAGCAATATTGCTTAGTGTGCCATTTGTTTAGGATCTAGTAAGCCTTGTTATCTTGTAGTAGCAATAGTAGCTATGGCTGATAAAATTGTTCTATCATTTAGTTCATCATTTCCTTTTCTCCTAGTTCCTCACACACAAACACTCTCAGCTAGCTCCTTTTATCTAAGGCTTATCCTGGATCTAGACACATCCTTGAAGAGGCCAGAGTATAATTAAACCAGCTTGCTCCAGATGCAATTGCATCCCTCCAAAGTTTGGGCACAACCAAATGGTTAACTAGAAACATCAATGTGGATGCCTGTGTGGTAAGACTGGGTTACTGAATCTGCTCCATGAGAGCCAATGTGATTCCTGGAAGGGCCAGAATGGTTGTGCTATTCAAGGCCCACTTGTGGGAAAGGGCTTGTGCCTTGGTAAAGCTGCTTAGTTCTAATGTTTATTGTATGGGTGATGGGAAATTGGGTAAGGCTTCTCAGGTCAGTGTATCACTGACTTTTTGGAGCAAGGAGGACCATTTGGGTTGATAGCAGCTGTGCTGGTCAGGCACTTTCAGCCAAGCCTTTTTGAAAAAGTGCAAAGATGCTGTTTGAACTGACATGAGCCATGCTCTTTTCATTCACAGGAAAAGCAGGGAAAGTATCCCCTAAGAATCAATCTAAATAGACCACTTACATATTACATGCTTTAATAAAATACTGGATTTCAGAACGCACCAAAGATTTATTGTAGAGCGTGGATTGTGAGAGACTGCCTACTTTCTCTTTGGACATTTTTAGGCAGGTTCTGTTTGCTTCTTTCTTTTGTTCTGAACTCTCACAGATTTATATAGTAGAGAAAGTAAGTGATGCCCAGCCTTTTTGGGGAGCCTTTTGCTGAATCAAGCAACATATTATATTTCCAATATCATGGATTAGCCACCCAATTAAATCTAGTAGATGAGCACATGATTCCATCATTGAATAGTAATAGCACTAGCTATTTGCACTAATTTTGCCATTGTATAAAAATTATACAGGTATAATAGAATATCGTGCAAAAGTTCATTTATTTCAGTAATGCAACTTAAAAGGTGAACCTAATATATGAGATAGACTCATTACATGCAAAGCAAGATAGTTCAAGCCGTGATGTGTCATAAGTGAGATGATTATGGCTTACAGCTCATGAAAACCCCAAATCCACAATCTCAGAAAATTAGAATATTGTGAAAAGGTTCAATA